TATTACTTGGACCTTCTGTTTATAGGCAGTCAGTGTTGGATTAGCTGGACCATGGCCTGTAAGTCTTTCTAGTAAATCATATATATATATATATATATATATATATATATATATATATATATATATATACATACACACACACACACACACACACACACACACACACACACACACACGTAGATATATACATAGTGGCAGAAAGTTTGAGAGAAAATAGGCTCTGCTTTCCATCTGTATATATTCTAACAAAGGAATGAGAAAATGTATTCATTACTCACCTCCTGGTATAGTTTATTTAGATGCACAGCTAGAATCTAGAGCCTTCATATAGCTAGATGCACCAAATCTTGAACTTTGTCCTAGTTTTTAGTTTAAGCTGCTATACCAACATGGCAGCAAGCCTGTTGTAATTGCACAGACTACACTGATTTATCAAATCTCAGCAGATGACCTTTTCTTTCAAGAAAAGCCTCTTTATTTTCTTGATCACTTGGGATGTTTTCTTTTAATACTTGGATTTGGCAGGCTTCTTTCTGATACCAAGGTGCCCACAGTGAACTCAGTGTGGGTAAACAGCTTGGAACACAAGCTGAATGAGCTCCGGCCACATGTGTCAAGTGGTGGCCAGCCAAATTATCCTCCATCCAGTGCCAGCTCAGAGGCAGTCACCAGCACTTCCCAAAGTCACACACACATCCTCTATTTTTGGTTTTGAAGTTGCTAGTCTGGATGCCATTGATATATGTTGGGCACCTCCTATATGCCATGCACTGACATACACTTTTATATATATTTACTCATTAGTTCTGAAGATAAGCCTATGAGATCTGTGATCGTCTGTCTCCCAGAGGGGAAGTGGCGGTGTGCTTACAGAGGGGGATGGATTTTATTACCTTGAGTTGAGTGTCTGGGAGAGCATACAAGATAACACAAGAAGAGTCAGGCTCAGATGTCAATAAGTGGATTAGATCTTGCCTTCTCAGCTCTGGCCTTTGTGGCAGTTATGTCTCCATTCTAGGACCTGACTGTTGAAGAATGTAGGAAATATCGGTACAAGTGGCAACTGGTCCTATATAGGCCTGAAGAGCCTTAAAAACTGAAGAGCATCAAACTTTAAGCCCAAGGAAACTCTACTATCCACTAAGAGTGAGTCCTGTGCAGTTCTGCACTTTCCCTTAGGAGACTCCATTCCCCTCACCTCTGTTCCTACATTAATGATCCTCACCAAGTGTCTTGGGTAGCCCTTTGGGTAATTCAGCTCTGGCGATGAGAGTTACTTTTCAAAGATTTATATGATCAAGGAATGTTGGAAGACTCGTGTTGCCAAAGTCGAAGAGGAACTGTTAAAAATTACTTCATATGTTTTGGGGTGAATAAAAGGAAAGTTGTGTAGAGCTTACTTATGGGGGGTTGTGAATATATAGTAGATTCTAGGCTTTTCATATGCATTATTTAATTCATCTCCAGCATATCCTGGCCTTACCTTCATTTTGTATACAAGAAATGTGATGAAAAGTCAAATAGGATCATGTTGCTGACTTTAATTTTTATTAAGTGTAAAAAATCTTTAAAAATTTTAGACTTATTTTCCTGCTTGGGAAAACAGTAATAAAATGTTATCTCACCTTGAAGTCCCTCTTTTTCTCTTTCTTCTTCTCTCCTCCTCCTGGGATTTGAAGGCAATGCTGATGCTTCAGTGCCCTGTTGGGATGTCACTTCACCCCCAGAACAGCCTCCCCGGACTTAGCTTTGTCTTTCTCGCTGTCTATGTGCTGTGTTAACACCATAACCCTGATCAGTTTACTGTTGCTTAATAGATGCTCATTTCATAAACAGAAAATGATAGTTGCTAGGTAATTGTAGAGATAATTTAGATGTGCTCCTGGAGCATTGCAGAGCTAATAGAGTCTTGCAGGGTCTCAGTGAGTCTCACAACAGCTCGAGTACACCAGAGTAGGCAGGACAGAGAGGGAGCCGGTGTCAGAAGTGGTCACGTGGGAAGTAGTATTGCTTGCTCCTATTGGGAAGAAATATGAGTTAAATTTGGACTGCATGGTTATTACTCAGTTCTTTCAAAACTACCCCTAATGGTATCTCTTCTTTTGTTTCCTCAAAATTAATTATCTTTTGGTAGCTATGGCAACACATTTGAAGCTCTGTCATGCATGCGATCTGTACACATTGAGCTATTTGCCTCCACATTCTAAACATTTTCCTGCACATCGAGAAATCCTTTACTACAGTGCCTTCTTTCCCTCTGTTGAAAACTGGCCTTTCCCGGCAGACTTGTAAGGACAATTCTGTACAGAATACAGAATGATTCTAGAATGAACTGTAGGAAATTCCCACTGTCGTTGTCAGTAGTGTTTGTGCCGTGTTTTGCTTGCATGGGCATCATGGGTAGTTCACACTTTCAACACTTAGCACATACCAGCTTGGTTGCCCAGCTTCCAAGCTCTGGGGCCCCATGCTCTCACTCTGTGGCTCAGAAATCTTCCTTCCTTGTGCAGAGACAGTGTGCCTGTTGTGTGGCCCTGCTATACCCAGTCCTACCTCTGTACCTATGGCTTTTCTTTCCCTGGGCTGCTTCCTACCCTGCCACCAACTCCCCAGCACAGCTCCCTGTGGGGGCTGGCTTCTGACTGGTTTTGCCCTCCCTCATTTAGAGGACTTTTGAGCCTGAACCTTAGCTCTCTGAGATAGACTATGTCTCTTTCTGTGGCCAGGGTATTGTTTAACTCTTGAGTCTTTCTTTTTATGGAAAGCAGGACAGATGACCCCTGCCTGCCAAGTGGCTGGGTTAGATGAAAAAAATCTGACCTACAACTTCTGGTGGCCAGTGGGCTTTCCACTCTTCCCACAGCACCAAAAATCTCTCTCTCTCTCTCCCCCCTCTCTCTCCCAACTATTTAAACATATTAATTATCTGTCTGTCTGTCTGTCTGTCTGTCTGTCTGTCTGTGTGTATACAAGTGCTTGTGGAAGCCAGAAGTTGTTAAATCCCAGGAGCTGGAGTTAGTGGTTGTAAGCCACCCCAGATGGATGCTGGGACCTGAACACAGGTCCTCTGTGAGAGTACTGTGCAGTCGGAAGCACAGAACCACTCTCCAGCCCCTGCCCTTGTTTCTTATGTTTTTGGTTGTGAGCCTAGCCTTTAACGGCTGAGCCATCTCTCCAGCCCCCTTGTTTCTTATTTCTTCTTTCTGTTTACCCTAAGTATTTACTTAGTGCCTGTTTTATGTTGGACTTTGTTTTAGTGGGTGAGGATATATACTGGAGGCAAAATAGAAAACTAATGAAAAAACATCCAAGGCACTAAAAGGACAAGACAACACTAAAATGTCCCTTTCAGACTACTCCTTAAATATTCACTCATTACAAATTTTAGTAGATTAAGAATAGTATGACAAGAGAAGTTACATATGTAAGTGTCCTTAAGGTTTTTAGGTGCTTTTAATGTTTTTTTTTTAAATGCTCTTTTATGTTTTTTAAATGCTTTTAATTTAAAAAAATGTTTTAAAATGCTTTTAATGTCTTTAAAAATGCTTTTAGTGGCTTAATGCTCTTTCAGTGTTTTGAAAGTGTCTTCACCTCTGTGTGATGCTTGCTTATGTTCATGCTTCTAGGTACAACATGGATTCCTTGGTGGCGTGACACAGTCATGTTGGTCTCAGAGTCCTTGTCACAGACACCCTTGTAGTCATGTTAACCAAGCTGGATTTTATCCAAGCAGTTGTTGTTGTTTCTGGTTAAATGACTCCCTTTTGCTCAGAGCGCCAACAGGAACCGTCATCACTTTGCTGCCCTTCAGTATTGCTTACACCTCAGTGTCTGACACGGGGAGACAATGCAAAAACCACTTGTGGGGCCAGAAAATGCACATTTCTCAGAGGGTGCTTTTACACTCTGGGGACAGGTGTTGATGAAGTAAAATTGTACTTAGGTCATAGGCCCTTTAGAAACATGTTTAATTTTTAGTATTTACCAAATAAATCCAAACTTCTGAGATATATGGCTCACGCTTTCCCAATAGACATAAAAAGGTATATGAATAGACATTTATTGGTTTGCCCCTGATTTTAGTGTTCACAGTTGCCATCCAGAAGGGGAGGAGTCCATCTAGGTGTGGTAGCTTCCATGTGGGAATTGGTATAACTCTCTATAATACTAGAATTGTAGATGCCGAAAGCACTCTTCACATACATTTGTGTTTCTTTTTATGCTCAACCCCTCCCTCCCCCTGTCCTACCTTTGCTCTTGCATTTGTCATGTAGTAAAAAACCCAAAGAAGAAAATTAGTGTTTTCCAAAACAATGTGGCATATAAGTAGAAGTTTGGACCAGAATTTGGGTAAATGCTTTCTCTAAGGGGGGGGGGCAAGAGTAAAATCATGCAGCTAAGTAAAATTTCTGGTCCCTTCATCATTTTAACCTCTTAAAGAGTCAAGCATGGTATTTACCTGGGTCTTCCTGTCTCTGTAGTCCTACCCTATGGTGACTTCACCACGCATGCTCGCACAAATGCACCAGCTTCAGCACGGGCAGCAGATTGACCTAAGCACTGCGGGTGGGTCATCCAGTACCAAATCTAATCCACACCGGAGACCCTGCCCTCAGCTCTCACAGTCCAGGCTGGCTAAGACGACACACAGGAGAAGGCACTCCAGTTTCACTTGAGGATCTGCAGCAGCTGGAGAGAACATCAAACAGATGGGCTTTTCCACCCTGATTATCCCGACTTCCTAAATTTAGAAATACATGCTTTAAAAAAAATGTAAATTACCCAAGGGGGTGGCGTAGCACATGCCAGGCTGTGCTAACGAGTGCAAATAGATGTCATCTGCCGACTCGATGCTCGGCTCCCACAGCTCCTGCTCTGTTCTGTTTCCTTTAAGTTTGCTTTCTTTTATTACTGTTTTATGGTTTTTTTTTTCTTCTGAAGCTGTGCTGTCAAGTCTCTGTTCACAAGTCTCTGTTGATTATTAGTTTAAGGTGTTCAGAGTACTTGCTTCCAAAGCACGTGCACACAAATTGGAACAATCCCGAGATTAGCATGACCCCTGTGCAAGGATGACATGCATATTTGTGAAGAGTACCATATTTTTTAATCAGATGAAACAAGAAGGAATACAGGGATACAAGGAAGAAGAAAGCGGAACAGGAACTTTCTGAAGGAAAACACTACCACAGCCGCAGCAGCTGCTCCTGCCTCAGCTGCTACCAAATCCAAGCACCTGGTCACTGTGTAAGAATGAAAGACGAAATCTCTGGCAGCTCCCCTGGTTGAAACACAGATGAAGAAACTAAAGATCAAACTCTGATATTTTGAAGAGCTGGAAACCATTAAGGGAGGCAACAGTTGCTTCCTGAACTTCAGAACTTCCACAATAGTTGCTTCCTGAACACCAGAACTTCCATGTGGAGCAATGGAAATATGCTGAGGTACGAGGCTGGCAACAAACAGAATAGCAGCAACATGGCCAGAACCTTCAGCAAGCACACCAGCACTCAAGGACCTGGTCCAGCAACAGGGCATCCTGGCATGATGCCTCATCAGCAGCTCCCTCTCTACCCTCGGATGCTGTCAGCCCTCCTCACCCAGCCAGGGCACACGCCTGATGCCTGGGAAGTGATATCTGGCTACATGATTCCCATTGTGGCAGCCCACATCCACCTACCTGGGGTTGCCCTGCTTCTCATGGTATGCTTCCGATGCCTGGAAACATCTTAGGACCCCGGGTACCTCTCACAGCACCAAACAGCATCTATCCTCCTCCTCCTCTGCAGCTGCTAGCTGCCTCCATTTGGAAGTGGGGGTCTCTCCATCTCCTGCTCCAGGCCTACCAACCTCAGCCTGGACGATACAGGGAGCCTTCACACACACAAGTTGAAATTGGGATGGCAAGACTTGCATCTCAGCTTCCTCGGTTTCTCTTGGGATTTTCCTTTTCAGAGACCCAAGCATTTCTCTCCACTCCTTGATAACTTCTTGTGTCAGGTCCTTAACTGATATTCAGTAAGATGGCCGTGTGACAAGTGTGCCCTGGTCATTGGGAAAATAACCCATGTCTCCCCTGTCCCATGTGTCAGGTGTTGACAGTTGGTCTGAAAGTCCTGTTGGCATTTGTATTCCATGTCCCTCTTTGCTTTGTCTTGTGCTTCAGTGGACAATCCTATATAATTACCATCCTTTCTCTCCCCTCCCCCATTTTGTTTTAAGGAGAGCATCCCCAGTTAATAGAAACCAAAAAAAGTGGTGATAGCCACAGAGGGACACACCTTAAAGCAGTGGTTCTCAACTTTCCTAACCCTGTGACTCTTTAACACAGTTCCTCACAGTTGTGGTGACCTCTAACCATAAAATCATCTCACTCCTATTTTCACAATGTAATTTTGCTACGGTTGTGAATTGTAATGTAAATATCTGATATGCGACTCCTGTGAGAATCATTACCCACAGGTCGAGAACCACTGAGGCATTATAAGTGACCTTACCTCTGCTTATCTGAGCTAGGAGTGGAGTTACCTGTTCTGAGACTTTCGCCACTCATGAATGCACCCAAACAAGAAGATGTGGGGACCGGGGAGGTACCTTGTTGATTGTGTTCCTGTGTGAGGACAATGAATGGCTGCACCCTGCCTGGAAGAACATACAACTGTTCCAAGTATATGGTGGAGGAGAGCACAAGCATTAGATCAAGCCCTGGCCGTACATCCTCACCATTCTGGTTTTCTGGGCAGATATTCACTAGGTAGTTTGCTTTCCCAAGGGCAGTGTGAGCTTTACAGGTTGGAATTTGGGGAGGCATTCCCATAGGTCTCCATACTAGCCAGGAACGTTAAAGGCATCTAGGCCCCTGCCTGGACACCTTTAGGAGGCCTATCTGACCATCTCCTACCACATCCTCTACCCTTGCTACCCCAAATCTAACTTAACTTTATATGTGTCTTCTAAACCCTTCCTCCTATAATAAAGGGAAAAGAAACACTTTAAAATAGGTAAATTGATGATGCTATTTTGTCTCATGAAACCTGGTTAGGTAGATGGGTTAGTTTAGTCCCTAACCCTCCTCCTGCAGTAGCCAGGTGAATGGGATTTCATGAAGCAGTGCTGAGGTTCAGAATGGGAGTGGGGACATGGGGCACAGTTAGCATGCTCTCAACCCTTCTCTGGGTTGTGGAGAATGCACTGAGGGGACGAGGACCTGGCTTTGCTCCACAGAATTGTGCTTTAAGGTTTGGGGTGCTCACACTGGGAGGGTGGGTACTCTTCCAGGGCACTGCTTTGACTTAAGGCAAAATGATTTGATAGTTTTTCCAGTTTGTCCTCCCATCCCTCTGTCATTCCATGAGTGGCAAGTGGGTGTTGTTGGCAAAGTTTCACTTTTTAAGTGTTAGATTCATTATTGATAATGCAAGGTAGAACATTTTATGCACATCTTTTTAAAAAATATGTGTTTTAACTCTACATAGCAGAGGCTGTAGGAAGGTGTACGTAACACTTGAGAACTTTCCCCTTAATGTCAGAATGTAAAAATCCACAGTTGAGATTTGCCAGGGGGCCCTGGTCACCATCAGAGTGCCTGGTTACTTTAGCTAAGGTAATCTCATTCCTTTCTTGTGTGTGTTCTTGGAGTAGAAATGGGAGTGAGCTTGTTACAGATCCCAGTCCCTTTTGACAATGGCCCTGGTGTTCCCCTCTTGCCCCCATTCTCTTCCAAAGAAAAGTCACTCCAAATGCTCACCTTTCCCCCCTGGAGTCCTTGAAGAAGACTGGGATACTGATTCATACTGTAGTCCTTTGTAACCTTTAACGAGATTGCATTGCATTTTGAAAGATACAAGTATAGATATATATTTAAAATTTTAAATTAATTTTACATGTCAACAATAGATTCCCCTTCTCCCCCTCCTGCTGTTCCCACAACACCTCCCTCAAAACCATTCCCAATCCAGTCATCAGAAAGAGTTAGGCCTCCCATGGGGAGTCAAGAAAGCCTGGCACATTAAGTTGAGGCAGAACCTAGCCCTTCCCCACCACCCCCGTATCGAGGTTGAGCAAGGCATTCTACCATAGGGAATTGGTTCTAAAAAGCCAGCTCATGCACCAGGGATGGATACTGGTCACTTTCAGGGGTCCTACAAACAGGTCAAGCTACACAACTGTGGCCCACATGCAGAAGGCCTAGTTTGTTTCAATGCAGGCCTCCCCAGCTATTGGTCTAGAGTCCTTGTCAGTTTGGGTCAACTGTCTCTGTGGATTTCTCCATCATGCTTGATCCTATAATCCCTCCACTCTTTGATTGGGCTCCCTGAGCTTGACCTGATGCTTGGCTGTGCATCTCTCCATCTGCTTTCATCCATTACTGGATGAAGGCTCTATGGTGACAGGATAGTTACCAATCTGATTACAGAGCAAGACAGTTCTCAAACCCTCTCCACTATTGACTAGGAGTCTTAGCTGGGGTCATCCTTGTGGACCCCTGGGAATTTTCCTAGCACCATGTTTCTCCCTCACGCCACAATGGCTCCCTCTATCAAGATATCTCCTTCATTGCTCTCCCACTTCATCCCTCCCCTCAACTTGACCATCCTCTTTCCTCATGTTCTCATCTCCCATCTCCTCTTCTCTACCACCCCACCCCCCCAGTTTACCCAAGAGATCTCATCTATTTCTCCTTTCTAGGGTGATCCATGTGTCCCTTTTAGGGTTCTCCTTGTTACCTAGTTTCTCTGGGCTGTGGATTGCTTTACATCTTATATCTGCTTCACTTATGAGTTAGTATATGCCATGTTTGTAGAGTGCAAACTTGCCCAGCCACTTTGGAAATCATTTGGCAGTTTCTCAGAAAATTGGGAATCAATCTACCTCAAGATCCAGTATTACCGCTCTTGGGCATATACCCAAAGGATGCTCAATCATACCACAAGGGCAGTTGCTCAACTATGCTAATAGCAGCATTATTTGTCATAGCCACAACCCAGAAACAACCTAGATGCCCCTCAACCGAAGAATGGATAAAGAAAATTTGGTACATTTGTACAATGGACTATTACTCAGCTATAAAAAAAAATGACATCATGAAATTTGAAGGCAAATGGATGGAACTAAAAAAAAAAAAAAAAAAAAACATCCTAAGTGAGATAACCCAGACCCAGAAAATCAAACAAGATGTATGTGTTTTCAAACACTGGTAACCTACAGCTCTCTTTCTGTGTTCATAACGGGTTACATTTCTGTAATAACATCCATTCAATTCTGAGAGGGATGGGATACTGTGTGGATTTTGTACAAATGTGTCTCTCAGTATGGATTTCTTTTTATTTTGTTGTTTTGTTTAGTTTTTTAAATGAGGAAATTTCTGAGATTTCACTGAATAAATGAAATACCATTCATGAATAAAATTGTAAAGAGACTATTTCCATCTTAGCATGGGGAAAAACATGTAGAATTTGATGGAGTTTCAATTAGTAGGTAAGGAATGTAAAATCAAAGTATGTTTGTTCATGGGGAATTGAATCCAGCCTTTAGTGTGCACTGTCTGGTTCTAGTGTTAGTGAGCAGGCCAGACCTCAGAAATCTAGACTGATGGAAATACTCACTTGGATCCCACTGAATAGTACTTTCCTGAACAGAAACTGAGCGAAGGGATCTTTTTATGGGGGCAGGATGATGTGAATTATAAATAGATTGAAGTCTGCAAAAATCATAGTTTGGAACTTTGGAATCTCATGAAAGGCTTGGAAAATACAATGCATAATTTTGAGAATAGCAGACTCCAGCAGTTTTCCTCTTCCTGAATTTGTCTGGGAAGACTCATCATTGAGCCTGCCAGTTTTCCTGTTTCTCAGAGGTCTTCAAGATGTCCTATCCATCTCTTCTCTCCAGGGATTTTTTTTTCTCTAAATTGCATGTCTATCACTTGTCTGTCTTCTGGGAACGGACAGACCCTGGGCCTGGGACACACTATGTTCAAGTCCTTCCCTCTTCTCCTCCTCTCCCTTCCCTAATAGTCATATATGAAGCTAAATTAGCAATACTTATCGACTATTGCATCTTCTCACCCATCTAAGTTATTATTTTAGTATAATTTTAGTGTGGAAT